TGTTTAAAACTAGTGATAAAGAGGGTGCCTGGGTGGCTCAGTTGTTAAGCGTCTGCCTTCGGCTCAGGTCATGATCCCAGGATCCTGGGATGGAGTCCCGCATTGGGCTCCCTGCTCAGCGGGAGGCCTGCTTCTCCCTCTCCCACTCCCCCTGCTTGTGTCCTGCTCTCGCTGTGTCTCTCTGTCAAATAAATAAATAAAATCTTTAAAAAAAAAAGTGATAAAGAGAAAAATTTTTTTAATATTTTTTATTATTTATTTATTTGCTAGAGAGAGGGGGGGGAAACACAAGCAGAGGGAGAAGCAGGCTCCCCGCTGAGAAGGGAGCCCTATGTGGGACTCGATCCCAGGACCCTGGGATCATGACCCGAGCCGAAGGCAGACGCTTAATGACTGAGCCACCCAGGCACCCCAAAGAGAAAATTTTAAAAGCTTTCAGACCTTTGGCTCAATTTTCTGTGAACCTAAAACTGCTCTAAAAAATAAAGTCTATTAAAAAACAACAACAAAAAAAAACCCACTTATTGTTGTAAGCCAAAAAATAAGCTGCCAGAAAGAAAAGACACATTACATATAGAGGAACAAAATATGACAGTGGATTTCATGGAAGTAACAGTGCATCTCAAAAGAAAAGAAGGAACATCTTTAAAGTACTGAAAGAAAGAAAAAAAATCTGTCAACTTAGAATTCTGTATCTTGTGAACATATCTTTCAAAAATGAAGGGGAAACAAAGGACTTTTTTTAATGTATAAAGGCTGAAAGAATATATCACCAGCAGGCCTGCCCTGTAAGAAATGTTAAACCAGATCATTCAGGCAGAAGGAAAATGTTGTCAGATGGAAATGTGAATCTGCATAAAGGAATGAAAATCACTGAAAATGGCAAATGTTTTTTATCTAAGTCTCTGAAAAATAACTGAGTTTTTAAGAAATGAAGTCCTGATACATTCTGTCACATAGATGAACCTCAAAAACTGAGTAAAAACCATTTAACAAAAGACTGCACATTGTGTGGTCCTATTTATATGAAATGGCCAGAATAGGCAAATGTGTGGTGACAGAAAGATTAGTGGTTACCTCGAGCTCGGGAGGAGGAGAGGGAACAACGAGAAGTGATTGCTAATGAGTGCTAGGTTTCTTTTAGGGATGATGACAATGTCCACAGTTAGATTATGGTGATGGTTGCACAACTCTATATATACTAAAACCCAGATGAACTTTATCAAAGAGTTATTGTTTAAAAAAACAACAAAGGAGATAAAAGGGAATTATAAAAAATACTTAGTAAATCAAAAAGAGGAAAATGTAAACAAAGAATAGAGAAAACAAATTATGGAATGGTGGGTTTAAACCCAGCTATATTGGGGTGCCTGGGTGGGTCAATCGGTTGAGTGACTCTTGATCTCAGCTCAGGTCTTGATCTCAGGGTTGTGAGTTCAAGCCCTGCATTGGGCTCCACACTGGGCGTGGAGCCTACTTAAAGATAGATAGATAGATAGATAGATAGATAGATAGATAGATAGATAGATAGATAGATAGATAGATAAGACAGACAGACTGACTGTAGACTTAAAAATAGATGATAGAAAAGAAAAAGTAAACCCAGATATATCAATAATCACATTAAATGTAACTGATCTAGATACCCCAATTGAAAAGCAGAGGTTAGGGGCGCTTGGGTGGCTCAGTCGCTAAGCATCTGCCTTCGGCTCACGTCATGATCCCGGGGTCCTAGGATCGAGCCCCACATCGGGCTCTCTGCTAGACCGGGAGCCTGCTTTTCCCTCTCCCACTTCCCTGCTTGTGTTCCCTCTCCAGCTGTTTCTCTCTCTCTCTCTCTGTCAAATAAATAAAACCTTAAAAAAAAAAAAGCAGAGGTTATTAGATTACTAACTATATGCTGTCCACAAGAAGTCCACTTAAAAAATATATAAGCCACAAAATAGGTCAAAATAAAAGGATTTTTTTTTTTTCAAGTTTGCTAACAGTGAAAAGAAACCTGGACTGGCTAAAATCAGATAAAGTAGATTTTAGAGCAAAAAATACTGCTCTAAATATTTAAGGGATAAGGATAGGGAATAGGTTTTTTTATAATGGTAATAAGGTCAGTTCTAAGGTCAGTTCATCAAGAGTATATAATAGAAGTAAACATTTATGCACTTAATAATAGAGCTTTGAAATACATGAAGCAAAAACAGATATAATTTTAAGGAGAAATAGACAATTCCAGTTATAGTTGGAGATTCCAGTATACTTCTCTCAATAATTGGTAGAGCAAGTAGACAGAAAATTGCTGAAACTATCAATCAACTTTGACCAGTTGACATTTATAGAAACTTTATCTAGCAGAATACACATTCTTTCTAAGTGAACATGGAACAGTTACTGAGATCACATTCTAGGGAGATTTTTATTTTTTAATTTTTTTTAAATTTATATATTTATTTGACAGCGAGAGAGGGAACACAAGCAGGGGAGTGGGAGAGGGAGAAGCAGGCTTCCCGCCCAGCAGGGAGCCCGATGCAGGGCAGGATCCCAGGACCCTGGGATCATGACCTGAGCCGAAGGCAGACGCTTAACGACTGAGCCACCCAGGCGCCCCCTAGGGAGATTTTTAAAAGCCTAATAAATGTAGGAAGATTCAAATCATACAAAGTATATTCCATGACCACAATGTAATTAAATTAGAAATCAATAACAGAAAAATCTCTGGAAATATTTGGAAAAAAAAAACCCACTTCCAAATAAATGAAGAAATCAAAAGGATACTTAGAATGAAAATGCTGCTAAGGCAATACTTAGAAGAAAATGTATAGTATTAAGCACCCATATGAGAAAAGAAGATTTTTAAGTCAATGACTTAAGCAAAGCCATCTTAATAAACTAGAAAGGAAGAATGAGTAAGATCCAAAGTAGTAGAAGAAAAGAAAAAACAAAATTCAAAGTGGAGATCGATAAAATAGAAAAATCGGGGCACCTGGGTGGCTCAGTCGGTCAAGCATCTGCCTTCGGCTCGGGTCATGATCCCAGGGTCCTGGGATCGAGCCCAGCATCGGGCTCCCTGCTCCTTGGGAGGCCTGTTTCTCCCTCTCCCACTCCCCGGCTTGTGTTCCCTCTCTCGCTGTGTCTCTCTCTGTCAAATAAATAAATAAAATCTTTTTAAAAAAATTTAAAAAAATAAAATAGAAAAATCAATGAAACCATAAGCTGATTTACTGAGAATATCAATAAAATGGGTAAACCTCTAGATAGACTGAAGGGGGGGTTGGGGGAGAGACACAAATTACCAATATTGAGAAAGAGGTGGCATTTTTACAGATATTAAAAATGATTAGGTAACATGGGGCGCCTGGGTGGCTCAGTCAGTTAAGCGTCTGCCTTCGGCTCAGGTCATGGTCCCAGGGTCCTGGGATCGAGCCCCGCACTGGGGTCCCTGCTCGGTGGGAGGCCTGCTTCTCCCTCTCCCTCTGCTTGTGCTCTGCCTACTTGCGCTCTCTCTCTCTCTCTCTGTCAAATAAATAAAGCCTTTAAAAAAAAAAATTAAAAAAAAAAAGATTAGGTAACAAATTCAACATGTTAAAAGTGCAAAAATTTCTTGAAAGACAAATTTTCAAAGTCCATTCAAGAAGAAATAGGTAACCTGAAAACACTGTTATCTCTAGGAAAATTTAGTTTGTAGTTATTAACCATCCACAAAGAAAGTGTCAGACCCATATGGTTCCACATTTAAGGAAGAAATATCAACAGTTCTACATAATCTTGCAGAAAATTGTATGGAAAGGAATACTTCCCAATTTATTTTTAAGATTTTATTTATTTATTTGACAGAGAGCACAAGCAGGGGGAGCAGCAGAGGGAGAGGGAGAAGCAGGCCTCCCGCGGAGCAGGGAGCCCAATACGGGGCTCGATCCCAGGACCCTGGGAACATGAGCTGAGCCGAAGGCAGACGCTTAACGACTGAGCCACCCAGGTGCCCCTCAAGGCTTATTTTTAAAGTACAACTGTGAAGGCAGGCTGGTATTGGCATAAAGATAAAGAGATCTTTGCAAGAGAGTTATGTATCTAGAAATAGACCCAGGCATATATGGACAATTGATTTTCAACAGTAGTTCAAAATGGCATTGACCTTCTAAATAGCAACACTGGAAATGAAAAAGTTCTGAGGGGGAAAGCATTTTCAACTAAAATATATATATATATATATATATCTTAACTATATATATATAGTCAAGAAGTATCAAAGGGGTAAACCAAAAAAGAAGAGAACAAAGTGTCCAGATTCTAGCAAGGGTAAAAGTGAAGGAGCGTCCTAGGACAACACCTGTGCCAGAAGTCCAGGTGCAGCGCTGCAGATCAGAGCAGGGCATCTGAGAGCCGGGCGGGGGTGAGGTGTGGTGTGGGGAGGAACGCAGGTGTTTGAATTGATGTGTGTCGGAAAGGTAGCAAAAACAATTGGTAGAACCATTGAAAAAGTGGGAAGCACTAAGATGTAGCAGTTATTAACTTTGATAAAAAGAGGAAGGGCTAGAGTTGCTCAAGAAAGGTGGCGTGCTCATTGTAAACTCTCCCTTTATGTAGTCTGTGCTGTCTACACGGCATAGTAAGGTAAGTTTTTCTTTTGGGATGAGTAGAGCCAAATGGAAATAGGACTTGATAGACTTTGTTTTCCAGATTGCTCCGTATCTGAAGTGTAGGCCTCTATTTTCGAGAACCAGTGCTCTAAAGGGCTGTTTCTTCTGCCCTGTGCTCTTTTACTCAGGCCTGGTGCTCGGTCAGTCCGGGTATCTCTTTAATCAGGACACAGCTGCGGTGGCCCCACCCCTGCTTGAAGACAGAATGGGTTACTTTACTTTTACCAGTTTCCTATCAGCCAGTGTCTTCAGGGGAGATCTCTTCTAGAATAACTTTGTTCCTAATCTGTTCTTTGGAGAAACATGATTATGAGTACCTTTATTAATCGTGTTTAAATAGGCTGAATCTTTTTTTTTAATGCCCTCTAGGAAGTAAGAAGAAAGAAAAGGAACGGCCAGAAATTTCTCCTCCATCTGATTTTGAGCACACCATCCATGTTGGCTTTGATGCGGTTACTGGAGAATTCACTGTAAGTTTACCCAGTTGGGACTCATATATGTACCAAGCATTCAAACTTTTCCTTGCATTATTAAGTTTCAAGTTAACTTCTCTATCCACGTGTTAACTGTGGATTCTTAGTGCTTTGTGTTTGTGTTTGTGGTTAGGGGCGCCTAGGTGGCTCAGTCATTAAGCGTCTGCCTTCGGCTCAGGTCATGATCCCAGGGTCCTGGGATCGAGCTCCCCATCGGGCT